TGTCTCGAAAAACCAAAAAAAAAAAAAAAGAAAAAAAAAGAAAATAAAATAAAAATTGCAGCCCAGAAGAGGACTGGAGTGCATGCTTGAGGTACATTCCAGCTACACCCAGAATAGGGAGTCGCCCAATGGTTAACCTTCTCCTGGTATCTACTTCTTCCTCTCAGGGCGTGGAGTACCCTTGGTTAAGTAAACACCCCGGAATTTTGTGTAACTGCCACCCACTGAACATCACTGATGATTTGGAAAACCTCCCTCCCTCCCTCCCTTCCTCTTTCTCTCTCTTTCTTTTTTTTACTTGTTTGTTCATCTGAGACAAGGTCTTGTCATGTAATCTGGCTGCCCTGAAACTTGCTATCAGACCAGGCTGGCCCAAAAACTTAATGCAATCTTTTGTACCAGGATTACAGGCCTGCACCACTGTACCTGGCTAAGGGAAATCTGTAAATTAAAATATCCAGGAGCTGGTTTCTGAAAGAAATTTCCTACAGTGCTCAAGTTCGGTTAATATTTATTGAACATCTAATACATAACAACAATTGTGTCCATATTTGTAATATCTCATTGAACTTTGAAACAATTCTACAAGGAGGAAATTAATATCCTCAAGTTTTCAACATGAAAATAAAAATGAAGAATGGAGAAAGTTAATTTGCATAAAGGCAAATGGCCAGTTACTGATTATAATAGCGTTTTGTTGTTTTTAAAAATGGTAAGCGGCACTGGTTACTAGGTGGAAAGGTCATGAGACACAAGCCACGACAAAACTCAGTATCAGAGCTTTATTAGGAGGAGTGGGGGACAAAAGAACCAGGCCTGGGGAAGAAGCATGTGCAGAGAGCAGAGTGAGAAATAGAGAGAGTGGGGGCAGGAGAGAACAGAGCAGAGAGAGGAGGGGAGTCTGTGTCCGGCTTTTTAAGGATTCCTGTGAACATGCGCAGGTGGACTTAGCTACGCCATGCATGCGCAGATTGTGTGACCACGCAGCGCACATGTAATCACCAGCGCACACTGATGACATAAGACGCAAGACCTCTTAGCTCCTGAACTGCGCACATGCGGTCATGCAGCTGGAGTGGTGGCAGAATCCTAACAACTTTCTCATTGAGATGGCCAGAACGCAAATAATGACATGGAGATTTATTATTAATTATAAAAGCTCTGCCTAGCTTCGGCTTGTTTCTAACTAGTTCTTATAACTTAAATTAACCCATATTTTTTAATCTACTTTTTTTTCCCATGAGGTTCGTTACCTTACTTCCATACTGCCCATTCTGCTTCCTCCACATCTGGCTGGCAACTCTGCCTTTCTTCTTCCCAGAGTTCTCTCTGTCCAGAAGTCCCGCCTATACTTTCCTATACATTCAGCTTTTCATTACACCAGTCACAGCAATATATCTTCACACAGTGTAGAAATCTCCCACAACTGGTTGTAAACCCAGAAATGAAGCATGGACTCATGTAGATGTAACCAACCGTCTTATTAAATAAGAAACACAGAAACAATGTAAAAGAGAAAGCCGAGAAGTCAGAGCTCAGAGCTAAAATCTCACCCTTCCTCCTGCTGTCCCAGCTTCGCGAAAAGAGACCTACTTCCTGTCGGTTCGTTTTTTTAAAGTATGTT